CATAAATAAAGGTCATAATTGGTAGTGTACAAATCTTTTAAAGAACATTATGGACATTAATTACACCTGTTTAAAAAAAAAGCCAATTAATTTGATAATCATTTTAGCTGAACTATATAAAGTATATTGAGAGCTGTCCTACTCGCCCTGGCATCTGCGTCCAGATTTCAGATTAAAGGTTTGGTGCAGTTAAATACTTAAGGTTCAAAAAATGTATCAACTTCAAGCTTTAAATATATGTTCCTATGGCCTTCGTGGTCAATTCCTATGCATCAAAACTCCAAACCGGTGTTAAATTAAGCCAATAAACACCGCTTAAAGGCCGATATTATTTCTTAATCATTACACACATGTTGTGTGACATGGTACATAACTCTAGCATTACTATTTCCAGAATTATTCCTCCTTGAAATTTGAATTTATGTTAACAAATGTTATTTTCTTTTTACTATAACTTCTTGTCATATGGATAAGACTTATAAAACGCAAGCTCCTGTATTTCCAGAATTATCCCTATTTAATTTTTGAAATTCACTTATAAATTGATTTTTTTAGTATTATCTTTGTTGTTATATAAATGGTATCTACTCTAGACTTAAGATAAATAATTGTTCTTTTTGTCGTTACTCACATAATGCATGACAAGGTTCATAACTTGTAAGAGTTATTTCCACTTTGAACTTATAATTTTTCTTTAAAAACTTTAAATTCTTTTTGCTCTTATCATTTTTGTTTTTGAAGGGATTGACTTCAGATTTCAAATTGCTGTCTTTCCATTAAAGTAACATTTATTGACAAGATCATTATGTTGTACAAAAATTTAGAACATTTGACTGCTTTCTTGATACTGATACAGAAATATATTTATATCATAATTGATTTTTTCTTTCATATTTTCGTCTTCCTTACTGCGTCCAGTATTTGATTAGTCGAGCTTCGCAGTGTCTCCTGTGATAGCTCTTGTTTTCGTACATTTTCTGTAAATTAAACAGTTTCATTCATATTCTTTCCTATCTAAAATGGTTACCTTCAATAAGATATTTATTCATGGAAATTCATGTCATTTCATCTACAACTATTTTCTTACAATATGTACTATATGCATTTATTTTTAAACAACTTTAATATTATAAGCGGCTAAATGAGGTCATCCCTAGCACATAGTTCCATTCTAATAAATGCGCCAAAATGACATTTTAACGCTGTTCATTAATAAAATGCGCAAAAATGACGCATCTGGCATCCCCATGCTGTACAGTTATTGAGAATATGAGTCTGATTCTAATTTTGATAGGAAAATCCAATTCAGCCAGTGAATATGATACTTCACACAGTGAATATGATTTTATATTTTGTTCTGATTACCACTGTTTGAACCAATGAAATAATATTAACAGCTATTTTTAGATCATATAATAGTGAACAATATTCTGTGAAAAACATTTTGGACTTGTCTGAAACTTCATTCAAAGGCCAAGAATGTCTTTGCAATAAACGGTTTCACAAACAGTCCCAGAATATTTTTGAACTGAAAATATATTTTAAAAATTGTGCATTACATATGACTTGCACATTTTTTCAAATTACATGCATATCACATGAGACACACTCATGTAGCAACAATACATAAAAGAGATGATATGTCTCAAGGCCAAGTCCCAAAGGCCACCTTCATTAGCATAAGTGCCACCCATACCTATACTGTCGTTTACATTGTTTATACATCAAAGTCACCCATAGCTCCACCTACATTTACATTTTTCAATATCTCAAAGGCACACATAGCCCCACTTTCATTCACGTTACTTATAATATTTCAGTGTCACACATAGCACTAGCTATAATTTACACAACTCAGTTTCTTGGACTCATACATAGCTCCAAGTTCATTTGCAATGCCCAATATATATCAAAGTCACAATATCTTGTAATTTTGTGTATAACATTTCCTACCCAGATTTCTAATAATCATCAAACATTCTAAATATCTCACTATCACCTGAAGTCTAACTTTCAAAAACATCATCCTGTTGTCATCTAAAGTTGCGGTCTAACATACTCCTGGCAGAGCCCAGGACCACCTCGGTAAGTTACTGGGATGATCCGTGGTGAAATTATTGTTGCTGTCACACTTACCCCAGCAGCACTACTGGAATTCCCAACTAATACCCAGGATACACCCGGACCATCCAGGCAGAGCCCAGGTGAAGCTATGATTCATATCGGTGCTTACCCGGTCATTCCTGGATGACGGCGGCTGAGCCCGGGTTGACCCAGGCAGAGCCCCGGTAGAACCCCAGTGGATTGAAAATGCGCAAAAATGATGATGTTGATACATAATTTTCAATAATATGGTTCTAAATGATATTTTCTCATATTTAATAAGTAATTCATGATGATTTTCTGAATAATACTTTTGCAAGACTGGACAGAAGGGAAATGGGAAGGGTTTTATAACAAACAAGTGCAATCATTGCAAATTGCTGTACTTCTTTTGAAATGAACCGGGCTTTGCCGGGACACTTCAGGGATCAACTGTAGCTCAATCGTCATCCTACATTGCTCTGCCGGCTTTCACAGGGGCTCTGCCGGCATTCACCGGGGCTCTGCTGGCATTCACCAGGGCTCTACCGTAGCTCAACTGGCTATAAAATACCCCGGATCATCCCCAGTTTGAGTCAGCAGAGCGACAGTGCTTCCCGGAAGGGCTAAGGATAAAGCCGGCAAAGCTACACCTTCCCGTATCAGCCTGGTGATATTATAATAAATTATTTTATTCCATCCCGGGTCGAATGCCTGATGTTTCTTGATCAATCCCGGACGTTGCAGGCAGAGTTACAGATGTACGCTGGTTGTTCCCGAATCATCCCTGGACGTCTACCAGGGCTCCGCCGGGTTTTGAGACCATATCTTAAAGCTTCCTCGTCCCTGGATTTATTACAACCAGCTAAAGCGTCACTTTCAGTAACATTATCAGATTTCTAACCGTCATCTATAGCCCTTCCTTCAATATCATCACATAATTTCTCACCGGCACTTAAAACCTATTAAGATAATGAGTGATCATTACTGGCCTTGTGCACTTAGAACTGTTTCCCTTTTTAAAACATTGATAATTCACGAGTGGAATTAACTGCGAAACAGTTCTAAGTACTTAAGTTTTCTTCCAAAATCAAAGCGTCTACTCTGAAATGAATTTTATATGTGATATTATCTAATAATATACAATAGAAGGTTAAGCTTCCAAAATTATTTAGATCTAATTTATTTTAATGCAGTTTGAGTTGTTTTTATTTAATCTTGTAGATTTTATACTCAATGAAAGCGAAAAGGTTCTAACTGCCATTTGCAGTTAGAACCTTTTCGCTTTTTAAAAAAAAGTTCATTTCACTTAGAACCTTTGGACAACTTTTCATTTCACCCTGTTATAAGTAAACTAAATCTAATATATTAAGTGAATTTTGTAAAAAAAAAAGTGAGTTAGAACCTTTTCGCTTTCACCCCTCGAAATGTAATACAGGAAATTTGAACATATTATTTGTTTCGGCCGGACGGCATTTTTCTAAGTGGATTAAACAAACATCCTCCCGAACAAAACTTTTAAAATAAAATTGATGAGAAAAAAACTAGGTCGATTATAAAAGTCAATTCGTGTTTATCACTCCTTTACTATCGCGTGAAATAATTTTAAATGTTTAGGACACCTAAATTGTAGTAACGTTGTGATGAAAAAAAATGCTTAAACACGAATGCAGAAAGGTCCATGCATCCATGAATTCTGTGGCAGCCTTTTTTAAGTGTCATATTTGCCATACTACAATTTATTAGTTATGGTCGTCTACGAAGTCAAACATCATTAGCAATTTTCAAGTTTTAATACTTCATTCAGCTGCTGACATTGAATATTGTTTAAACAGCTAAATGAATAACTGTGTATGTTTCTTTCATAGCTTGGTGAAGTCGTGACAGAATGTTTAAATTAGTTGTTTTGCTATTTTGAACAATGTACAATATTAGTAGATACATGTTTTCAGTTGCTGTTTAGTTAAATGTTAAAGATTTTTGTGGCAATATCGCTTTAAATATGCATATCTTTTCCGACGAAAATGCAATTATAAACTCTTAATTTGTAACTAAAATGGCAAGTGCAGTTCAAAGATGCTGGCCCAGTTTATGACTGTGTATGACGTTATATAAGCAACCTACCTTCTGATGGAATAACATTACCGTCAATAAACGAGACGTATACAATTTGACATACATACTAGTTTAAGAAAAGATATTCATGTGATAATGACAATGCAAAACGAACAATGTTTGATATGTTTTTATATTTCGTTGAATATTTAATGCCTTAGGATGAGTAAAAACCACCTACAATAACAATATAACAGAATAAATAACATAAAAAACACACAAAATTTGTGAGGATTTACCGGGTACATTGTTGTTATGTGATGACTTATCTAAAGTGTTTTTTATACAACATGTTGCAGAATTATTGTTATACATGAATAATTTTATGTGCACATTATACTCGTTGAATGCAAGTTCTATCGTTCAATAGAGAGTTTACATTTTACTGCTTCAAACTTAGTCTGTCTTAGATTCAGACTGTGACTTTATGAATAAAAAAATATAAAGTGTATGAACTTATATATAGATGATATAACAGAAGTGTGCATTTTTAAATTTAGCGTGAACATACGTTTAAGGATAAAATGATAACACACGTTAAAAATCTTAAACATGCAATAAAACGGATACAGTGTTTAATATGTTTATTTTGTACGACGTGTTTATGTGTGGGAATTTTGCTGATATATTTTTATATATTTGAAATGAACATTTTGTTCAGTTCTCTCCGAAATTCTGATACTTTCAATCTAACAAGCAATTTTGCAACAAGTGTATATTTATATAATAATATATCTAATTACAAAAATGAGAAGATATGTTTCTCTCTTTCAAAAAATATAACTGTTACGAATGTGTCCGCAATGTCGTCTGCAGAGAAGAAACAATCGTTCAAAAACAATTATTTGATAAAAACAAAGATGCTGACATCTTGTGGTCGTTTTATAACTAGGGGAGCATATAAGGGTCGTATTGGTAACCAAATGTTTCAAATAGCATCTTTGCTTGGCACAGCTCATAAATATGACATTTTGCCTATCATACCAGAAAATTATCCAATAAATAAATACTTTGATCTTCCTAACAGGATACCCTTAGATTCTAATGAGCTTTTAAATATAGTTAAATGCGAAGCATTGAAGTCTGCAGTTTACTACAACTGTTCAAGAGAAATAAAATCTGGAAAAAATATCACAATGCTTGGGTACCTTCAGTCATGGAAATATTTCTATGGAGCATATGACATCATTAAATATGTGTTTAGGTTAAAAGAAAAGTATTTGCTTCAAGCAAAAAAGTTTTTGTCTCGAGTTTCACTGACTGGATATAAACGTGTATGCATCCATGTTCGACGAGGAGATATTACTAGCAATAAAAAACAAACTATTGGTTATGCTATTGCTGATATGAAATTTATTGAAAAAGCAAGGGAGTTTTTTAAAATGAGATATTTAAAGGTACAATTTTTTGTCGTCACTAATGATAAGAAATGGTGTAAAAGAAATATTAAAGATGCTAATATAAGTACTCTGTCTGATCCTGGTGAGGACCTTGCTTTAATGACTTTATGCGACAACGTTGTTGTTACAACAGGATCATTTGGATGGTGGGGTGCGTGGCTTTCAGGAGGGACTTCTGTCTATTTTGATCAATATCCAAAGACCGGTAGCGTATTAGCTGCACGATTTAATCGTGACGATTATTATCCCCAAGACTGGATAGGTTTATCATAGTGTGCACATCAATTAGGACATAACATTATTATGAATATATTTATCTTTTCCGGATTTATTAAAATTGTAATACTTGCAGATAATCATTAAAATATGACATGATCTAAAAGTTTCAAAGATTACTTATTGACATTATGGCAGATATCTAGAGATGCTGTGCAAAAGTGATTTTAGATATCCTGACAATTGAAACAAATAAATGATAGATCTTTTTATCATGATTATTAAAGGTAAAAATTTACGCAAATACCGAAGGAAGAGGTAAATGCTTATTATGCGGACATAACATTTTCTAGCATTTGACAAGTAATGATGATCTTAACATACAGTTTGTTAGGCGATACATTTTGTATTAACCTGGCATGATCTTTTTTACATTTAACATTGTTTATTGTTTCGATCGAACATATGTTATAGACTTTGTATGACCAGTGTAAACATTTGAGTTTGAAGAAAAACCTTCTTGTGTTATAGTTGGAATAAATCAGATTTGGCAGTTAAAGATTGACTAACAAACAGACTGACTGACAGGTAAAGTGACTGCGAACCAAACCTTTATGTTGTGAGAATAAACACTGATAATGTTAACGTGTTAAAAGATTACACGTTTGTCTTTCTTTGATCAAGGCATGCAATTGTTTGTTTTTGGTAAGTTTATTGTGAATATAACAAGTGATGACACAAAAACGATCTGGCATCACATGTGGTATCGCCGTTTGGTAATCTATGAAGCTGTAAGTAAACAATTTATTTTGGTGATCGTACAATCAATTCAATTAAGATTTAAATTATAAGACTACACAAATTTGACACAGATCGAAGCTGAAATGAGATATATGTGATATATGCGACATTGATATGTTCAAAATTAATGATGAAATCCCTTCTCACACCTAGGCACAAACATGATCCCAACAGAAGACATTTAAGGAAACAATTTTTTTTGTTCCCTCTGCTTTGACCTACACAATAAACCGGCAAATCGGCATCAAGCGTATTTATTGTATGTATGTCGTATGTTGCATTATTTAAATGAGTAATATTAGCAATTTCATTTGCAAAAAAAATCTGGAAACAATGTGATCCCACGGAATCATTAATCACATCAACATTACAAGAGAATTGCAGATCGGTTTGATTGAGTCTGTACATGAGGGATAATGAATATGTGCAACATCCCTCACGCCCCTCGCACCGGCTTGAGCGGTACTCGATTCTCAACACTTAATAGTGCTGGCATCAATGATCCCGAAGGACCAGAAAAATATAACGACACTGAAGTGAAGTACGGGGCAACTTTTTAAAGCTGCCACACAGCGCTTGATACCTGCTGTTGTGATGTAAAAAAATCTGGAAACAAAGTGATCCCTCGGAAACATTAATCACAACAATATTACAAGAGAATTGCAGACTCTGTTTTATTGAGTCTTTAAATGAGGAATAATAAATATGTACAACATCCCTCACGCCTCTCGCACCAGCTTGAGCGGTACTCGATTCTCAACACATAATAGTGCTGGCATCAATGATCCCGAAGGACCAGAAAAATATAACGACACTGAAGTGAAGTACGGGGCAACTTTTTAAAGCTGCCACACAACGCTTGATACCTGTTGTTGTGATGTAAGAAAATCTGGAAACAAAGTGATCCCTCGGAAGCATTAATCACAACAACATTACAAGAGAATTGCAGACTCGGTTTGATTGAGTCTGTACATGAGGAATATTGAATATGTGCAACATCCCTCAAGTAGTATACTAATTTAGCGAGTCTAGAACACTCCCCTATTTTTTATTTTTTTTTAAATCCGGAATACCCCCAAAAAAGGAAAAGTGTAAAAAATGCTAAAAATACTAAAGTAAACCAAAAATATAAAAACAAAATCTTCTCATTTTACCCCCCAAATGGAAAAGTACAAAAATGCTATAGTAATGCTTTCCCCGTACTTAAGGTACGTTGAGTAATGCTATACTAATGCTTAAGAAATGCTAAATAATTAATAAGGTATAAGATATATTACCTCTTGAAAAAAATTGAAAAAAAAACGAAAATTCATTAACGTTTAATTAACCCCGATGCCGCCGCATACAATAAACCAGCAACCAACAAAACTACAGACCATAAATGTTCACCAAACCAGGATACAACCTTGCCGGCAGAGGAAAGCAACCAAGAAACAATAGCACCGATAATACCAGGCAATGCTTCTGCTGCTTTTCCTGCAAGACTGGCTAATAGTTTACCAAGATTACTTAATTGTTTTTTTTATCCAATCATTTACACCATCTTTTGGAGGAGGTTTTGATGGTGTTGTAGTTCCACCACCTGTAGTAGGAATAAAAGTCTCAACAATAACACCAATAATCATTCCAAAAGCAGTTAAAACGCTAACAATTGTAATTCCTTGTTCTTTAAATAAAGTTTTTATTCTTTCAGCTAATGTAGTGTCTTCTTTTAATACTTTATTTATTGTTTCTTTGATTCTATTTACCTGACTACGTAATTTATCTCTATTAACATCAATCACTTCCAGTCTTGCACTTTTTTCAAACTCCAAATCTCTTATTAGACTACTTATCCGTTCTATTTGGAATTCATCATTATCTGATTTGGCTTGTTCTAACTTACCGTTTTCTTTTTCTATATCTTTTTTTGTTTCAGCTAGCTTAGCTAATTCATTTGCAATCTCTTCTTTTACAGTAGTCATCGCCTTGAGGACACCATTCATTTCTCTCTTTGTCATATCTGTTTGTGTTTCTTGTTCGTCAGTAAATGATGTTTCTATTATTTTTGCTACAGTTTCAGCTGCATTAGGTAAATCAGTCATTTCTATATTATCAACATTAGGTAGTTTATCTTTCGCCTTTTGAAACCTTTCAACCGCTTGTGCTGATAATATTTTAGTTGTAGATGTATAAGCAGGTAAGCTTAATAAGTCTCTAATTGCATTTGCTCCACCACTACCAATTCTACTCGCCAAAGAACCCAAGTTTATAAAACTACCACATTTTTTTGGCAGTAATTTGAATATCTATATCACCAAACTTTAAAAATAGTGTTTTATTAGCAGGACCAAGTTCAAAGTTTGAATAATCAATAAATACTGGGTCTAACCCATACTTTTCTTTTATCATCTTGTAATATTCTTTAACTACATATTGTTTCTGTTCTACTATTAAGTGTGTTCTTGTATCAACATCATCACCAATATCCTCAATATGAGCACTTTGGTTTTGTATAATTCTATTAAATTCATCATCCTCATCTACAATTAATTCCTTATCCTCATCATAGTCATCTTTATCAAACGCAGAGTTATCAAAATACGTTCCACCTTCAGCCATTTTTATTCGTTAAAAATATCCTTTAAAAATGTCGGCTTTGGAGAAAAATTAAACCCTTACAGAAGAATAAGAGAACCACGTGGTGTGAGAGGAATTCGCCAAAGTGTTGTTATAACCAATAATCCTTCAACTATCGACCAAAATCAACACTTGTTAGTGAGATTTCCTAATCTAAGTAGTAATGATGTCATTGTTCCCAGAACAGTTAATTTAAAATTAGCATTTGAAATTGAAATAAATTCTAAGGATGTAAATGCAACAATATTTCAAAATATAGAAAGAGCAATAATTAAGAAAACAACAATAAAAATAAGTGGAAATGAAGTTTTGTCCATTGATGATAGTGATATTTACCATTGCTATGTTGATTTATGGAAGTCTCAATATGAGCGTGATTATATGGCCTATCAAGGTATCGGTAAAGATAACATGTTGAAACACAGAGTTGGTGCTGCTAATGCTTCCTCAGACAAAGAAGACGAGGCTATAGCAAATGCATACAAAAACAGATTTTGCATCCCACTTGATTTTGAACTATTAGAAACGCATATGCCATTCTACCAAGCAGGTCTCGGTGACAGACTTGAATATGAACTTACTTTCAATGATTATGACAAAGTAATTAAATCAACAGATGCTACTTCAAGTTATACAATCAAAAATATATGTTTGGAATTTGATATGGTGTCTGACACAGAACTTGCAAGACAACTAAGACAACAGGTCAACGGTAAAAAAATACCTATTTTTTATGACAGAATACTTAGACACAGGAAAATAACTAAAAACAAATCTGATACGCTTTGGAATATTAATCTAAATGTTCCAGCCAGAAGTATGAATGGTATTCTGATGTTGTTTGAAGACCCAGACAGAACATCAACTGAAACTTATTACAATCCTAAAATAACAAAAGTAGAAATGACAATAGAAGGAGTACCAAATCAACTTTACAGTCTGTTACGAGCCAGGCGTAACGAGAAAGAAAAGCCAGCAACAAACTTGTAACAATAACAAATTTATTACAGAAAAATTATTAAAGAAAAATAAAATAACAAATTATCTTTACAAATACCTGAAGTCCAAATAAAAATTACAAATGTCTAGTCTGATCCTGGAACGATCCTTTTTCAATAGCACAGTTAAATCCAAGTTAAATCCAAGAACACTTTAGAATAAATTCCCACGATAAAATCCACAAGAATAATTAATAATCCAAGCTCCAATAAATCACTTAATTTCCAAGTTGAATAATACTCCAAATATATTGATGACTTAAAAGATCACTGATGACTAAAAGGTAACTGATGACTTAAAGATCACTGATGACTTAAAAGGTAAAAGTAATGAAAAATGTCTCCTAATATATATTAACTAAGAAGTTTCTAGAATCGTCTTCCATTTACTACAGTAATCATAATCTAGCAACTTCACCAATAAAGATCATTCCAGAAATCTAAATATAATGCATGAGTTTTTTTTACAACAGTTAAGAACGTTCTAGCACATACATGTAGTTTATGTTCTAAAAATAGAACAATGATAATATTGGAAATACCAACTGGTCATATATAAATTATATACATGTAATAAGTTGCATACATAAAACTTCCCCTCTTCAAGAAAAAGAAATATTTATGAAATGAATATTTCTT